ACCCCCACCCCCGGCGCGAAGCCCGCGGTCCGTCCCCGCACCTGCGGGACCTACGAACAGCCGACCCGCCACTTCTCTCCCAGGGAGGGCTTGGATGCCGGCTCGGACGCTTCCCGCCCCTCGCCTCCGGCCACCAGCCTTTCCCGCTGGGGTCAACCCTTCAAGCCTTTCGCTCTCGGATCTAGCAGAACGGAGTACCAACACCTTCTCCTCGACCTACCCGGGCCTCGCCTTCCCCGGTGCCAAGCTCCAAGGCCTCCTCACCTATTCCGGAGGGCTAAGCCAGACCGGACGCTCAAGGCCCGAAAGGCAACTCCCACCACTCCCTGACTCGCCTGTCTTTCCTTCCCAGCTGCAGCCACTGAAAAAGCCAAGTCCTAAGGTCCTACTCCATCAGCTTCCGGGCCTCCCTTCACAGCCAGGCCTGAGCCCCCAGCCCTGCCCTCCCGCTACCCCGCTTCCCCTCCTCCGGAGACGGAGCCCCGGGGCTGGGCGGCTTCCTTCCCGGCCATCCCGCCGGCCCGGCTCCTCCCGCGGCGGGCCCGGCCCCCGCCCGGCGTGCGGCACACTCACCGCTGAGCGCCGAGGCCTGTAGGGTGGCCCCCGAGGTGCCGTCGATGACTTTGATGGTCCCGCGGCTGGTGACGGCCAGGATGGCGTTGAGCGCTGGGTGGTAGGAGAGGCTGTGCAGCCCGTCGGCGTCGCAGCGCATGCAGCCGTCCCGCAGCACCAGCCACTCCGAGACCCCGGCCGCCCCCGCCCCCGCCGAGGAGCAGCCCGGGCCCGAGGCCGCCGCAGCCGCAGCCGCCATCTTCCGGCCTGCGCTCAGCACAATCACACTGGGAAGCGGCTCAGTGACAGTCCCGGGAAGTGCTGCACCACCGCCAGTCACCATCCGGGGCCAGGGGGCAAGCGGAGCGCGTTAGCCGGAAGTGAAGTCAGGCGCCCGCACGCACGCGGCACGTCGGCCGCCGGGCCGGAGGGGCCAAGCTCGGAGGAGGCTAGCGGGGCGGGGGAGGGGGAGAAGGAGCGACAGAGGCGGGACCCGGGGAGGGGGAGGGGGAGGAGCGGGAGGAGCATGCGCGGGAGGGCTCGCGCTTGCCACGCGCCCTCTGCGTTCGCAACGCCCGGTTTCTTCCTGCGAGGTTGGGGAGTGGCGGCTGCTTGAGTCCGCCCGGCTCCCGGCTCCTCGCAGTGGGAGGAGGAGATTGGTCTCCGTGCAGTTCCGCTAGGCTGGGGCCGCGGCCCGTGGACCCGGCTGGTACACCCTGAGGCTCTATGCAGCGGTTACAGCTGCTCCCCGACCGTTCCCTGTACGCGCGGTGCATCTGTTTGGCCGTGGCCCTTGTCTGAGAATAAACAGTCTGAGAAGCCTTTACTCTGGATTTGAAGAAGCCAGACGACCTTACCAAACCCGTGCCTTTTACAGCGCCTGCTCTCCCCATCCCCAAATCTTTTTGTTGCACAGAAGTACCAGATAAGAGGTGCTGGAGGCATATAGTTAAGCTTAGTTTCCCTAACCACATTCCAAACAACTTGAGTTAATGTGAATTGTTAATGGGGTGGAGGGGACACGGAGTCTGTGTTGGAGAGCTAGAAAAGACTCAAGTTGGTTTACTAATCATCCCCCTTTGGAAAATACCTTTTTCTGCTTTTCATTTTGAAATAATTATTATAGATAGTTGAAAATATAGATCTCTATGGTCTTACTCTCCAAAATCCGTAACACCTTTCTATGAGAAAAACATTGGACAACCCCAAATCGAAAGACATAAGATACCTGACCACTACTCCTCAAGGACAGTACAAAGAGGACCCATATACCCTTCACCCAGGTTCCCCCAACGGATACATATAATTTTAGTACACTGTCAAAAGCAGGCATTTCACATTTGTATGATGTGTGTATAGTTAAATGTCATTTTTATCACGTGTAGATTCGTATACCATAATTAAGATGCAGAACTGTAAGTTCTGTATGTTTTAGAATCATTACATTATCCTGGAAAGGCCTAGTTTCCTCTTCCTTTAAACCTAATCATCAAAGAGCTGTTCTGAGATTTAAGAATCATTTGTAAAATGTGTAGAATAGCATCTGACATGTACTCGGTGCTCAATAAAAATCATGAAACTTAACTGCTTCCTCAATTCCTTCTCAGAATTCCTTTGGGAAATCTTCATGGATTATGCCAACTACATCTTAAACTATTGCAATGAGGTCTTGCAGTAGGGAAGAGAGACTGGGCTCAACTCTGAATACAGACATCTTGGGCAAGTGGGAATTTATAGCCAAGGAGCAGTGTGGGGGTCAGTGGATGGAAAATTATGAAGAGGAAACATCAGGGGTAAAGGGGATTCTGGCTAAATCAACCTAAGAGGATTCTTGTTGAAGACAGGCCGGGATGATGAGACATCACCTGAGAGATGGTGGAGGATAAGGAACCTGATCCAACATGGAGGATGAGAGGGGGGTTATTGCTAAACTGACTTAGCAGGTTCTTTGTTAAAACTGAATTTAACAAGGAAGTGCACAGATGGGGCTAGCAGGAGATTCAGAAAAACCTGACTAAAGTTTGGCCAAGCAAAGAATCTTTATGTGTCCCCCTGATAAAGAGACATTCTTCTTTCCTTTGAACAACATAAGTCTATTTTCTTGTTCAGATCATTAAGGACCAGCTGAATCACCTACTGGGACTTGGTAGTAGAGGATATCTCCTGGATGGTGTTAGCCATCAAGTTTTTAATGAGGGGAGTTTAGTTTCTATGAAAATAAAATAAAAACAAAGATTAATAGTTGGAACAAACTAGCGACTCAGATTCCGAGTCCAGAGGGCAGCTAGTCAAGATTTCAGATTCTGGCCCTAAGCATCTTCAGCTGGAGTGAGGACAGTCAGTGGCAGTCTGACAGATTTTCCTGGTCTGCAGTTTGGATATCATAAAGGTTGTCCACATGTAAGCCGTTGTGGTTTCTCTGAAGTTTATATCAAGTTGTTCAGCATCAGCTTGCAGGGCTTCAGGAGAAGAGAAGTGATTCCAACAAGTGATTAGTTGGGAGAGTCATAACCAGATACTGGGGGAAACTAGAAAAATTCAGGATCCAGTCCAGATTATGGTAGGTAACAAAACCTCGAAGAAAACAAATAGCGCTAGAATTTAATATTGGGTACACTATAGTTTTCTTCGGAACTATAATTTATCTCCCTATAGTCACCCCGATTTCTACCAAAGATAATCAAAGAAAGACTGATTTGTCCGCAAAATAAGTTTAGTCTCATTAAACTTGGACTTATAATTTACATAAGTGCAGCAAGAACCAGACAGACTCTTTTTAAGCTTATTTTGCTTGAACTTTGAATAAGGAATATCAGATTAGACTTATAAAAGACTCTCAACGCTAGGAAGTCAAACCAATGACTTTCCATCAGGCTGTATCTGAAACATTCATAGGTTTAGATAAATTCCTCTCTTCTTGAGGTCCTCAAAGTATCCTGAGGTTTCTGAGCCTGCAGAGAAGTGACATTCCTTACTCACCTGTTAGGCTGGGAACCCTCAGGCCAGGTTTTCCAAGGAAGAATTTATTGGCTCAATAAAGTCAACCTTAGTTCCTTAAAGCCATCTGGTCATATTTGAAAACATGAAATTCCAGTCAAAGCTTTGGTAATATAACCAGTGCTTCCAATTGTGTCTTATTATAGGAAAAACGGATTCTTATTAAACTTATACAAATAACTACATTGCCATAAGCATAAGAATACTCACAAATAGTTTCTGAATTCTGGAGGAATCAGGTAGGGAGAATAAACGTTTTCATTTTTCACAAAAGCATACTTTATTGAATTGCTGTAAGCTATAGTTAGCTCATAAGAAAAAGATTTCCTTAACTCTGGGAAACAAAACAGATAAAGAACCAGCAATGTTTCAAACAAAAAATCATTAAAAATTATCTTCATCATGGCTGGG